GGAGGGAGCCTGGAGAAAGCTATTTAATGAGTCTGGAGTCTGAATGTGCTACATGAAGTATCCTGGATGCTGGGCAGACAGTAACGTGGGCATCCTTAATGTCAATGGGGCTAAGATGGCACCCTCATGATCCCAGGCAAGAAACTGCCTGTGGAAGGCCAGCCTGGGCTACAAAGTAAGAACCTGCCTCCAAAATAACAATAACAACCCAAATAAGAGGATCTCTGTGAGTTTGAGGCCAGCCTGGTCTACAAAATAAATAAATAAAACTAAAAAAGAGAAAATCTTGAAGCGCCATATAAAGAACATTTGCTATGTGCCAGGTATGATGCTACTTGATTAACAATTCCATTTAATCTTTTCAGCAGTTCTGATGCAATTATGAATGGCCTCATTTCACATTTAAGCCAGCTGGACTTGGAGAAGTCAAGTCCATGAGTAAGACAACAGAGGGGCCAGGAAGCAGACTTGAGTGTGCCTCTCTTCATTACCGCCTTCCCAGATACTTCTTTACTCTATTTTAGATGACTTCATACCATGGTATTTCAGAGGACTTTTAGCTTCGTTCGATAGCATGAGCTTTATTTTATAATGCGTTGGGGTATGCCGTGTGGAAAGATGTTGTCTCTGACCCACCAAGGCAGGGGATGTTATATTATGCTCTCAACAGCTCAGACTCCAAGATAAAATCTCTGTGAGTTAGGAGATAAGGGGAGAGAAGTTGATTACTGGGTCACAAAACCCCTTCCTGGCTGTCCAACTGCTTCTGCTGGAGTGTTTCTTCACCAGCAGAGGGCAGATGTGTGGGCCCAAAGAACAGAAACAGGCAAAGAAAACTGCACGGGGCGGGGGTGGGGGGCGGAGGTTTAGTGTATAGAGGAGGAAAGATTTGGGGGAAGCGGCAGTCCTCCCAGTGGCTGGGCCAGAGAGGGACCGTTCGTAGGCTGTGGGGAAAATGGACGTGGTATTCGTAGTCTGTGGAAAATTCACATGGGGCTGGTGAGATGGCTCAGTTGGTGAAATGCTTCCCGTGGAAACACAAGGCTGTGAGTTCAGATCCCCAGGACCCACAGAAAAGCCGGCTGCCACAGCCTGTGTCTTTGATCTGATCACTGGGGAGCCAGAGACGGGAGGATCCTGGAGCTTGGTAGCTAGCCCAATTAACATGGTTCAGTGAGAAACAGTTTCAGAAAATAAGGTGGAGAATGATGGAAGAACACACTTAGCAGTGACATCTCTGGCCTCAACATGCACACTTCTGCACACGTGCGTGCGTGCACACACCCCCACACATGCGTGCACACCCCCACTCACGCATGCGCGTGTGCACATGTTCTTTCTATTGTGGGGGCCAAAGTTACACTTTAAGTTTCAATGACTATGTCGTAGAGATCCATGAAACAGAAATGACTGATCTGCCAGCCTCTTGCCCAAGGACAGCGAGTTCCTGAAATGCTGGAGGTCATTTTTTTATGGACGATAATAAACCACGTGTTTTCACTCCCCTAAGCAAGTTTGTTTTACCCAGTTGCATCAAATGTGCTTGATCACATGTGGGCAGGGGCGTTCAGAGGCAGGAACTATGTCAGGATGTGTGCTTGCCCCTGACTGGACCTGATGGGAAATACTTAAGCTGCTGCAAACCATGACTTGGGGCCATGTTTTTCTGGGAAACCAGAGATGGGCCTGGTCAGAGTCCATCCACCCGGCCCGTATTTAATTTAAGCTTGCTTCAAATTTGGCTTTGAATTGTGGTAACGGTTTTATTCTCGACCAGTGAAATTAACACTGTAGCTCTAACACGACGTAAACCTTCTACCCTGACCTCACTTTCCTGGACCAGGCTTCTAGTATTTTAGACAATTAGGGTCTTATAGGGTCTGGACCATTACACGTATTATTGACTCGGGAGGCACAGTAGGCCCTGCTACAGGGACAAAGGGTGTCTCTGTGGGGACAATCAAGATGCAAAGGGCTTTCTTCCACGTTCTTCTAACTGATAGGTTCTTAGGGGCTCAGTGCCACAACTGCGAAGTCACCATGTGCTCAGGGCACAGCGTGCTACACAAGGCCCCAGCATGCTCCTGGAGGCAGGACGCTGAGTCCTGCAGTTGATGATGGATGCTCTAACAAGAGCTTGTCACCCCGGTCTTTATTTCACACAGAAGGGAATTACCATCAGGCCCCTTAGCCAAAATCCTGTCCAGGCTGACAAGCTGATGAACTTGCCCCAGGCATCATAATCACCTGCCTCCCCACATGAGAGCCCCAGGAAGGGCCACCAAAGTCGGGGCTTCTCCAAAATGCCTCAGCTTCCTGGAGAAACGGCTCTCTCCTGCTGCCTGCTCCTTCTGCCAGCCTCCAGAGCTACATCGAGGCTTGGCAGAGCCACATCAGCCATGACAAGCCTCTCCAACAGCCTTTCCCTTCTCGGAGTATGGCAGTTTCAAACTCTCTTCTGAATGAGCGGTGGAGGCTGGTAAGTGTGAGCATTTCTGCCCCCCTCCAACTCTCCCATCCTCCTCACTCCAAATGCCTGATTATGTTGGAAGTGTAAGCCGGTTGCTAAGCCAACGGCAGGGGTCATTTGAGAGGGGTGGAACCAAGAATTCACAGATACATTTCCTCAAGGAAGGCCAAAGTGAGCCCTCACCCTGAGGCAGGCGCACCTCCAAAATCAGCCCACCTGGCTGGGCTGTGGTACCCCAGGTTCTGAGGTTCAGGTAAACAGACAAAACAAGAGGTCAAAGTTTCTATGTTTGGAATCACCATGGCAAATGCTCAGGCTGCCTTGCCACACCCAGACTGGAACCAGTCTTGCCATTCCTCTGAAACCAGCCAAAGTCTGGAGGCCCAGAGGGTCTCCCACGCGCGCCTCAGGTTGCAAACCACCAAAGCTGCCAGATGAAGTCTCCAGGAAGCCGTGCATTGGGAGGGATGGTGGCACTCTGAAGACAGACTTCAGTCCTGACCCCCAGAAGCTGGGATGTGATTCAAATTTGGGAAAACGTTTTTGCAGCTATCATTAAGAAACTCAAAATTAAATCACCCTGGATTTAGGGGTGACCTTAAATCTAATGATAAGGGTTCTTGGAAGAAAAGAATCTGGGGATGAAGGCTAACTAGAGACAGGCAGAGATGGAGCAGCGTGCTCTGAAGCCAAGAACACTTGTGGTCACCAGAACCGGGAGGAGACAAGATGGTTTTCTTCTAGAACCTTCTGAGGGATCACGGTGAAAGGTTTCCATACCCCGATATTAAGTCTCTCCACCAATTCAATAAATCAGATCAGGCCAAATTAATAGTCCAGGTTTAATGAGCAAAGCACTCCCAGGTAGTTCCAGAGGAAGAGTAGAAATAGGGAGAACCACGTGGCAGGCGTGTGTGCGAGAGTGAGTGTGTGAGAGAGCCACACCTACACCCAAACCCACAACGTGCCTTAATAGCTTGTAGGCGTGGTCTTGCGCATCTCGGGGGGAGGAGCCACCAATGACGGG